ACGCGCGAGAGATCACTTCCGGCGCTTGCGCAGACCGAAGCGCCCGCGCCCTCAGATCACTTGGACTTGGCTGTGTTTACAAGAGGTAAAAACGATATAAATACTGTTCGTTTTCTCACACAAACCGCTCGTTTCGTGTCTTAGGCCATCAATGTGTACTTACATTTACGAGTCATTAAATCATGTTTAATTTGGACTTCTCTGTGCATGCTCTTTGAGGTGGTGACCATAGACCTGCATTATATGACTGACAGACAAGAACGGTTTGACCTAAAAATATCAAAATTGAAACTACTGCGGAAACAAAGACACCTACATCTTAGATGCCCTTGAGGTAGCTAAAACATACCAAAAATTAATTTCAAAGTGAACTATCCCTTTAATGGAACATCGATGCCAATAGAAAAGCTTTTTTAAGAGTGTATGATCGGTCTTGTATAAGCAGGTTGACGGGGAAAGGGACAGGCTAAAAATAGCCGCTTTGAGCTGCTCTCTGATTGGAGCTCGCAGCATTTTTGGCCCAGTAACCAGAGAGCGTTTATAAAGCAGGCTTCTGTTCACTGGGATCAGTGGATTTATTGGAGGACAATGCATTGTTGTGCATTCAAAGTCTTTAAAAGCATGCCGGAACAGATTCTGGCCGCTGTTTTTCCTGCTGAACTCAAACTGTACTGGTACAAACTGAAAGCCCCACTGTGAGTGTTTCGAAATGTTCGGGAACTTTTGCACTTATCATCTAATTGTCCTTGAGTGGATGGAGAGAATAAAGTGTTTATCAAGTGAAAGAGAAAGTAATGTTGTTTACCTTGTAGGCATGAACTACTAAGTCTTTAAGATTAGATGCTTTGGGAAACATTCGGCCCACATAACTTCCAGGAATCAGGTCCAGTAGATCCTGTTCAGAGGAAAAGATTAGGTCCTTTGGAAATACAGCGCTATAGAAAAATAATGCAGACTCATTCATCGGTAGGGTTGACAAAAGTAAAGAGGAGACGCTGCTTTCAAAGGCCCTCGTTACACTTTGAAAGGTTTCTATTCACAGCGTGTTTATATATACTCGAAAAATTCATTTATTTCAGTAATTCAACTTAAAAGGTGAAACTAATATATTATTTAGACTCATTACATGCAAAGTGAGATTTCAAGCCTTTAGTTGTTATAATTTTGATGATTATGGCTTACAGCTATGAAAACCTTTTCACAATATTCTAATTTTGAATTTGTGGGTTTTCATAAGCTGTAAGCCATAATCATGAAAATTGTAACAACTAAAGGCTTGAAATATCTCACTTTGCATGTAATGAGTCTATATAATATATTAGTTTCACCTTTTAAGTTGAATTACTGAAATAAAGGAACTTTTGCACGAAATTCAAATTTTTCCAGTTTCACCTGTATATACTATAAGCGTTGAGAGATGTAACCAATTACCCTCATATCTGTTGACTTTAGGGACGCACGATATATCGGCCACCATATCGGTATCGGCCGATATATGATCATCTTTAATGTTATCGATATCGGGCCGATAAAAAAATTTGGCTTGTAAATTAAAGCTGATAAATGATGTATTATTTCCTTCAGCTGAAACACTTCAGATGCGACTGTTCAACATGATGGGTTTGAATTGCTTGAAATATGAGTGGAATCACTTCAAAAAAGGAAAATACATTTAAAGGCAACGCAAGTCTGTCATATACGTTAAATACAATTATAATGAGAACATAGTTTGGAACATGGCTTTTAATTGTGAGACTTTTTTTTTTAACGAGGCTCTCAAAAATCCTCTAAAAATTTGGATTTAGATTTATCGGCCAATATATCGGCTATCGGCTTTCAAATATATAGAATTATTGGTTATCGGTATCGGCCAAAATGTTCATATCGGTTCATCCCTAGTTGATTTCTTGAACGCAATGGCCAATCAAATAAGTTTAAATTGAACACACTTATTGAAAAGTGTTACAGATTTGTTAAACCACTGTTAAATAGATTTGTTAAAGCACTATGATCACTGATTGAACGAAAAAGTCACTGTGTGTGTTCCTATAAATCAGTGACTGGATTCTAGAAATCACTATTTCAAAATAGATTGATTTCTGTAAAAGGCGACACCCAAACTCTTGGTGTGGGAGAGAAATTACCTCATACCACTGATATTGCACCTGGTCCACCGCAAAGATGGAGTAAACGTTGTTCTCTAGGAGTTTCTCTGCCAGTTGACCGATTGTTGGGTGCTCCTAAAAACAGCGACAGCAACACAAATCTGCCATTGCTTGTTGAGAAACCACAGATTCTGGTGCTGATAGAAGCAGCGTGGAGCCAAATATGTGTGCAATTTCAGCAAATACATCAGTGGTGACATTTTCCATTGGTAAATCATCATGAAAAACATGCAAACAGGCCAAAAAAAATTACAAAAATATTTTTTCTTTACAATACCATACCACTGTATATGAATATGATAATCATGGTATATATCAACAAAAATATTTAAACGTTTTTTGGGGACGGTACTGTGGTAATGCAAGTCTCTTCTGCTCATTTATCAAGTCTACATTTATCTGATCAAAAATACAGTAAAAACAATAATATTGTGAAATATTATTACTTATTATTTAAACTGTAATTTATTCCTGTGATCAAAGCTGTATTTTCAGCATCATTACTCCAGTCTTCAGTGTCACATGACCCTAATGTCACTCTAATATGATGATTTGCTGCTCAAGAAACATTTCTTACACTCTTACATACATTACAAACGTCCATAAGTACCTTGGTATTACCATTTGATAAAATCACTGTACCGTGGTATAGCCACAGTACTTGTGTATGTTCTGATGCATTTGTTTTTACAGTATTTACCTCTTTTATGGATAGATACCATAAAAAAAAAAAGAGATGAAGAGATGGAACTGGTTTTGGACACGTCACAGGCCAGAACTGAACTTGTACGAGCACTAACTTTGCATCTGGTGTTTTGTGCGTGTCAAGTGCTGTTGTTTTTCTTACCATGCTACTGGTTTGAGAGTAGATATTATCCTCTAGGTGGCAGCGGCCATCATGAGGAACCACGATACCGGCCAGTTTACTGTCCAAAGCCAAATGAGAAGGCTGGTCTGTCATAACCAACAGCAGATGCTTCGCTTCAGGTCGCCATCCAATGTCTTTCTGCAGAAATGAATCAAGGTTTACAAATCTGCTGGAGTGTGTGTTTGGTATAAAGTACACTCAGCAGAGGATTACATCATACAGCATCCATCTGCCGTGTGTTACTACTAATACAAGACAAACTGCATCAGTCGAGCGTTAAGCTGCCAGGGTGAGTAATGTTGCAATTAATCATGCCTTAAATCATGTCCTGAGGAGAAGAGTTACTTTGCTGATTTATCATTTTGCTCTGCAGATGATAAAACATGCAAATAAATAAATAAATAAATAATCAATAAAAATAAATAAAACAACAATACACAAATAAAAAATGAATACAAAAAACAAATCAAATAAAACTAAAAACTAATCAAATAAATAAAAATAAATGCTAAAAATAGAATAAATGAAAATAATTTGTTTAATTAAAAATACTAAAAAATCTAATAAATACAATTAAATACTAAATAAATAATAAAAATAAATTAATAGTAGATGATAAAAACATGCAATAAATAAATACTATCATAGTTAATTAATCAATAGAAATAAAAATAAATAAAATAAAAATAAATAAAATAAACAATAAATATATATATATATAAAAAGAGTACAAATAAATAAATCAAATAAATACTAAAAAATAAAACAAACCATTAAAATAAATAAACAAATATTAAAAATCAAATTAATACAAATAAAAAATGAATACAAAAAACAAATCAAATAAAACTAAAAACAAATCAAATAAATAAAAATAAATGCTAAAAATAGAATAAATGAAAATAATTTGTTTAATTAAAAATACTAAAAAAATCTAATAAATACAATTAAATACTAAATAAATAATAAAAATAAATTAATAGTAGATGATAAAAGCATGCAATAAATAAATACTATTATAGTTAATTAATCAATAGAAATAAAAATAAATAAAATAAAAATAAAACAAATAAACAATAAATATATATATATATATATAAAGAGTACGAATAAATAAATAAATAAAATAAATAAATACTAAAAAATAAAACAAACAATTAAAATAAATAAATAAATAAATATTAAAAATCTAATTAATACAAATAAAAAATAAATAAGCAGTAAAAATATTAATAATAATAGAACACTAACAAAACAAACAAACAAAAATAAATTAAAGAATTAGTACTAAAAAAATAAGGACAAAAACTTGTCTGACTTGAGCCTGTGTTACTAATAGACAGACTGCAGCAGTTGAGCGTTGAGCTGCCAGGATGAGTAATGTTTGGCTAAAATACACACACACGCTGAGATGCCAACAGGAACTACTTTTTAAAGTTACAACCGCTAGTTACTGAACAGTAAGAAGTCTGTGTAACTCATGCAAAACAACATTCTGAATATTCCACCTGAGACCCGTCGGTTTCAAGGTTAGCGCTCTCTGTGCCAAAGAACACATCTCTTTCATGCGTCTGCTTTCGGTTTCTGACTTTAGGGAGGCTTGGGTGGACATCATGAAGACTGAAACCCATTCAAGGTCATTTTCCAGAGCCTTTCAAGCCCACTGCTCGAGCGCTCGTTTATCAGATCGCACTGTAATTCACGGGAAAAATCCCAACAGTTGGAGGCTTTGTTGACCGTCCACTGCTTCACTACAAACAGCCGATGAAGAGGAACCCGCCTCCCGTGACTCGGCGATGACATCATCCTCTGCAAACAGCCGATGAGATAGAGATGTGGCTGATTCAGCTCTTCGGCTCTTCAGGCATTGTTCCCGTTCCCAGGCAAAGCCAGGCGTAATGACCTGAGACATGCAGTCTCCGGAGCAACCGCAGGAGAAAATATGTTCTGGTGACACAGGAACAGTCATGCGCGTTTTTAAGGCTTTAAAAAAAAATCATTTATGCACAAACAAAGAGTGGACTGGTTAAATCATTAGTGGTGTCTCTGCTAAGGCATGCAATGACTTGAACAAACTGTGTCAAACATGTAAATCGCCCTGCGTTGCATTAATCATTTCTCAAATCATGTCTTGAGGAAAGAGTGCTGTTACTTTGATGATCTAGAACCTCACTTGGAGGATAAAAAAACATGCTAATAATAATAAATAAATACTCAAATAAAATAAATTAATAGTAAAAATAAATAAATATGTAGTATAATATAATATAATATAATATAATATAATATAATATAATATAATATAATATAATATAGGGTGGACAACCCTCCACATTTAAACCGCCCTAACTTAAAAGAATTACAGATGCATTATTAAAATAATAAATATAAATAAATAAACAAACTATAATATCATAATATCACTCCTATTAGACTTGAGGACTCTTTTGACTTGAGCCAGTAAGGAAAAACCAAATAATCACCATTAACAACAACAACAAATGCGAATATATTATAAAAAAAATTAAAGAAAAATACTTCAAATACAAAAAATGACTTATAAAAAAATAACAAAAATCTTAATCTTTTTTTAACAAAAGAAAAAAAACAATCATTATAATAAATAAGGAATCATAAATAAGGACAAAATGATAAATAAACAAATAGATACATACACAAATGCATAAATACATACATAAATATATACATACATACATACTACTATTCATAATAGATTTGAGGGTGGGCTCTTTTGACTTGAGCCAGTAAGGAACCACCAAGCAATCACCATTAATAGAAATAAATAAACACTAAAAATAAAATAAATTCATAATATCAGTCACAATCAAAGACTGTAAAAAGGATGGACAGCGCGTATCCACTTGCTTCCACTGTAGAAAAATAAAGGCAAAATATCCTAGAAACGGACGTTGCTGATTATGTCGTTCGGAGTCTGTGCAGTCGTGATCATGAGGAGGCGGAGCCACGGTCTTAAGGTCCCGCCCACACTCCCACTCCCAGACTCATTCGCTAGCACAGCTGTCAATCATGACGTTACATCCCCTTTCTATAGCATCAAATAACTGAACTAAAACCAAACGTATTGGGGAAACGGGCACTTGAACATACATCTGCGTGATGAGAACTACCTAAAAATGACAGAAACCATCTTTGGAAAAAAAATATTTGAAATATAATTGGATTTTTTTAGTTTGGCTCACGTCCCATTCGATTACATGGAGAGGGCGGGGTTTATGACCTGTACAGCAGTCAGCCAGCAGGGGGCGATCCAAATGGTTTGGCCTCACGTTTCAGTAACACATTGTGTAACACACTTGGTCACAATAGATTTGAGGGTGGACTTTTGACTTGAGCAAGTAAGGAACCACTTAGCAACCATCCAGAACACCCTAGCAACCACAGAAAACACCCACTTTGCCAAAATGCTGCAAACCCTCATAGACCGATGCAACTGGAAATGGCTCGCAACCCTTAAAGTAGCGTTAAAGTCATTGTCACAGTGGTAAACACGACGGCTTTCTTCTTTCGTGAGGGGGTTTGGCATCACGGCATCTTTGTTTCCAGCCGGCCCGTTGCGGAGAGGGAGGGGCTATTAGACTCTGATGTTTAATGACGAAAAACGTATAAAATTCACACACAACACGGTTTGAGTACATAGTGCGCATAGGATAAGTGCATAGTGTACAGAGCGCCATTTGGCACACACCTTTGCACTGTGCTGGTGTATCACCCCTTAGGTGTGTTTACCTGGCAAACTGTGGCCTGCAGCATGGCATCGAAGCCGCCCTCGGGTGTGTCCATGTTCCCAGAGATCCTCTGCTCCTGAATGACCCGTGTGAACTCTGTCATGTTCTCCGTGACCGGGAGGACGTGGATGAATCCGTGAGCGGGCCTGCAGTGGACCTCATAATCTCTACGACCAGAGAGAGAGATCACATGTCATCCACACCATATTCCCACACTAGTCAGAATGAGATCACTACGGAATGCAGTCCGGGACACCCAGGCTGGATTTAGACTCCTGGGATCAGTTAAGAGACCTCTGGAGCTTCCCATAGGAAAGACAGATCACAGATCAGATCTCATTAATATCTCAGTTGTTTCTCAGAGTTGAAACTGAGGCTTTCGTCTCCTGCAAAAGAACCCGGACGTGCATCTCCTCTAGTGTTACAGAAGAGCTCAATCACTGTGGTAATTGATAACTAAAAATGTAAATAAAGCTGAAATAAAATAAAATATAAATATTAGACGGAAAAACTTTTTTAAATTTTGCCTTGTGAACTAACTGAAGTATTAAAATAAAAATAAATTAAAGCACATAAAATTACAAAAAAATAGAACAAAAAAATAAGTACTAAAATAAAAATAAATTAAAGCTATATAGAAAAATAAAGCACATCAAATTACAAAAAATAAAACAAATAAATAAGTACTAAAACAAACAACTAAAATAAATTGAAATATTTAAAAAACAAAAACAAATAAAAATGACAAAAGGACAACACTATTAAAACTACTAAAATAAATAAAAATAATAATATAATAAAAGTAAATAATAATAATAATAATAAGTTCTAAACTTTCTAAAACTAAAATACATATAAATCCTACAAATGAATTACAAATATTTTTCTAAAAACAAAAACTAATAAAAATGACAAAAGCACAAATTAGTAAAACAAAAAATTCTTACAACTATTTTATATTAAAATAAAAATATAAAAGCAATTCAAAATATGAATAAATACTATAATACTAATACTAAAATAACACTGAGATAAACTGAGCTCAAATATTTCTCAACAGTTGAACTTGACACATTTGTATCTGTTTTTATTTATTTTCTAAAGTAAATACTCAAACAAAAAGTAAATACTCAACTGAAAAAGGAAATCAGATATATAGTGTCTGAATATTTCTGATCATCATGTTCGCAGTGCCATTTTACAAAGTCATTATCAAGGTCAAGAAAAGGTCCTTCATAAAAAGGCAACAAACGGATTTTGTGAAGACTTTTTTATTAAAACAAAACTGCTAAACTGCGAGCGATAATATTTACAAAAGATCTCAAGGACTCAACTCACGTGTTTATCCTAAAATCCTTGTCAAAAATAAAACATAGGTGCACGCGAGTAGAACCTGACCTACAGTAAGTGTATATAGCAGAAATATTTGAGATCTGACTTGCTGACCAGCAGAAATGGCTAAATTATTTGTAATATTTTTTTTTTATGAATTAAAATGTTTTTAAATGTGTTTAAATAAATGTGATTATTAAAAACGAGAGTTTTAAGAGTTCATTATCATGAGACTAGAGCTCTCGTTAGTGGCTCGTGGCTGGTTCACCTGCAAGGGTTCAGGAGTTTGGAGGGGTGCACGTCGATGTACGGAGACACCGGTTTATCCACGAACGACCCGAAGCCCACCCTGAAGTCGCTGGAGTGTTCCTTCATCTGGTGGGACAGAGCCAGACCCACAGTCTTCAACCGGTCCAGGTTGTCCTGCATGGACGCCGAGACGTCCACCAGATAGTACAGATCCACAGGGTACCGTTCCAACTGATGCACCTCAATCACAAAGCTCGCCTCGCTGCCTAAGACAGGAAATGACATCATCATCATCATCATCATCACTATTGTACATTTCATGAGGAAGCTCTGAGTGGTTTGCTGTGGGTTTCTGCATTTATGTTAGCCTGTTGTTATATAGTTTCTAAGCTAGTTTCTAGGTTTGCTAGAGTGTTCTTGGTAGGGCTACATGATATTTAATTAAAATCGATATGGCTCAGTGCGGCTGTCAAATCGATTTAAAGGAGAACTCCGGCGCAAAATGAACCTTTGGTCTAATAAAACATTGGTACCTTGTCAACCGTTCTCTGAGATTTGTTTTCATGATAATCGAATGTAAAGAGTTTTATCTCTAAAAACTGTTTAGCGTATAACGCTAGTAATGGGGGCATCTATTAAGTAAAAATAAATCGCTAGTTTATACCACTAACAAGGCTCAAATTAGCCCCACACGAACACAGTAACATAATGAGGGTCCCTACATGCAAAACGAAGCATTGAGAACTTTGTAAGTGTACAGACCGTTCAATAAGAAGATATTTTATAAAGACAGTCCACTTCGTGTATACAGACAGGAGCCATCTTTGGAAAACAGTCTCGACTAATCAAACCACGAACGCCATTCATACAGTTCAGCTCACTTAGCACGTCGTTCGTGGTTTGATTAGTCGAGACTGTTTTCCAAAGATGGCTCCTGTCTGTATACACGAAGTGGACTGTCTTTATCTTTATCTTCTTATTAAACGGTCTGTACACTTACAAAGTTCTCAATGCTTCGGTTTCCATGTAGGGACCCTCATTATGTTCTTGTGTTCGTGTGGGGCTAATTTGAGTCTTGTTAGTGGTATAAACTAGCGATTTATTTTTACTTATAAAATGCCCCCATTACTAGCGTTATACGCTAAACAGTTTTTAGAGATAAAACTCTTTACATTCGATCATCATGAAAACAAATCTCAGATAACGGTTGACTAGGTACCAATGTTTTATTAGACCAAAGGTTCATTTTGCGCCGGAGTTCTCCTTTAATGAAGTATAAATAAAAGTGCTATTGGTTTACACACGTGTAGTTCTCCGAACGGATTGGTTCATTTACTGTGAGCTGCATGCGTGTAAATGAACACACAGTTCCTTCACTCAGAAACCGGCGGCGCATTTATTTAACCGGCAACCCGTCAAAATAAAAGCTTATTGGTATACCGTTTGAAAATGAAGACCTTAAGACTTTAATATTAGTATTGTAATTAAATTAACATTTATTTTATAACTCAATATTTGTATTTTACAGTACAATAGTATTCTTATTTTAATATATTTAATAAAAATAATTATTATAGTCATTTTTTATTTTTTATTTTTTATTCTTTATAGTCATAATTTATAGAATTGGTCAGTGTGGTAAATGTGGCCTATGAAAACTCTATTATTATTATTTGATTCTGTTCATGTTCACGTTATGGTTTGATTTTAATTCTTGTAAAGTATGATCACCCACATTTTTCAAGAATTTCCAACATTGTTCAGCCCTGAAAGGATTTAACACTTAAAGGGATCGTTCACCCCAAAAAGGATCATTTTCATTTTGGGGTATTCAGAGTAAAGAGTACATTTTCAGCTCTTTTTTTATTTAATTTATCAAATATTGTCTATGCAATCCTTCTAGAATGATTCATTCTTTCCAAAGCTATTCAAGTCATCTGGTGAAACTCCCTGTATTTTTTCCACATTGCAATATATAATATCGCAATGTCAGTTTTTCCCAGTATTGTGGAAATAGTGTTTTCTAGGGCATTTGTGTATCAGTTTAGTGGTTTAATTGGTCACCTGGTCGTAGGTGGATGGAGATCTCTCTCGGGGACACCTGTGAGCTGCTGATAGTGGCGTTCACTTCCACTTTCACACTCGGGTTCTCGATAAACTCCTCTTCACAACCCCTGACTCGCAGGTCGGACACAGATCCGCATCGCTGGCTGACATGCGCCCCGTCCAGAAACCTCTGTGAGGGAAAACAAGCCATCAGAAAGGTCAAAGGTCACTGCAAACGCCGGGTGCTTCAAGAAACAGGGCGACCGTTGTGTGTGGTGGCTTTACTGAGCGCACAGGAGCGTGCGAAAGCTCTTCGGCTCAGAGACTGTTGTTGAGACGTGGCTCAGGGATTACTCTGACTGGTGCCGAGCGCTGCAGCCGCTTATGAAACTTATTTTCAGAACCACAATATGCATGACTTTTCTTTACAAAGAAAGCATTTCAATTAAGCGTTTGTCCCAAGACAATAAACATGTCGGTTAAAGCTCTATAAACTGACTAACTAAACCACAACCGCTTCTCGAATCTTTCTGTTTATTAAAAGATGTGAGATTCTTGAAACAATATAAGAATTTTTTTTTGAATGGTTCTGTTGATAAGTTTTAAATTTAATTATAAATTTTTACATTTATTTTAGTGCCTTCAAATCAATTAATCGAGATTAATTGCAACATAAATAATGTGTGTGTGTGTGTGTATATCTATACAGTATACACACACACACACACACACACACACACACACACACACACACACACACACACACACACACGCACACATTATATATTTACAAACTTTTATGATAGATGCAATTTACAGATTTGACAGCACTATTTTATTTATTAATGTATTATTTTTATTATTATTTTTTCAAAATTGTACATATAATTTGATTTATTTTGATTTATTTTCTTCATGAATTTGTTAATGTTGCTATATATGTTTATTATATATATATATATATTAATAAAAACAGTGTTATTTTAGTAGTATTCATAAACTATTATAGTATTTATTTATTAATATTTTGAACTAGCTTTACATTTTTAATTTTAATTTTACTTCACATTTTAGTAATTATTTTATGTGCTTTTGTCAGTTTTATTCGATTTTGTCAGATTTATTTAGCTTTCATTTAATTTATTTCAATTTTTAAGACTTTATTTTTATTTATTTTTATGTATAGCTTTAATTTATTTTGCTTTTGGTTTTAGTAATTTTACTACTTCAAATTAAACTGACTTATTTCATTTACTTGCCAAAGCAACCTTTCAAATGTTTTCCATTTTAAGTTTTTCGCCTAATATCTATATTTTAAAAATATCATATTTCAGCTTTATTTCAATTACTGAAGATGTGATTTTCAACAGCCTTAGTTTACATTAACAACACTGTGTTAAACTAACAGTTGTAATTGCTCAGCATTTGTTCATTCATAGCTTAAAGTCCCCCTGTGGTGACTGAAAATCCAGCTTTTAATATTGTTTATATGTCTATGTGGTGTTTTTAATATGCTTTAAGACAAACCATGTGTAAATTCATAAGTCGACAGCATTGTTGAGTATTTTCTGCTTAAAACTGCAGTGAACCGAAGACAGTCTCAAAAACACGGTTTGAAATCGCTGGTGTTTCTGACGTCACAAACGACCTCGTAACCGCAATCATTGGCATATCAATACACTCACGCTCATATCAGCGGTTTCTGCATTTCTATTTTATGGGTTCCCAGGATCACCGAAGCTCTCGAAGCATTCTGGGTATTAGGGCTCTAGTGTTTTATCGCTAACAGACGAACAGACAAGCGCTTCACACACTTAAAACTCGAGCAGTGTGCCGAGATACAACAATAGCAGCTCACACACACACACACACACACACACACACACTACCTCCTGAGAGCACCATGCGCATTCAGGGCCGCGTCTCAGACAGTCTTCACATGTGGAGGCGAGGGCAGACTGGCAACGGTTATCTGCTGAACACAGAGACATTTACACATGAATGAGCAAGAGTTCAGATCTTCAGCGGGCCTTTGTGTCAAACACACACCCTGTCAGAACACTCCAGCACACTGTGAGCAGAGAAACTGTGTCATTAACAAATCACAGCACAGCAATGGGAATATATTCATGTGCACAACCATCCTGTATACAACCTTTCTTTTCTAGTGCTCCTGATGTGCCACTATACAGTATCACACAAGATATTACAGGGACAAAAATATGTTCTAAGAAGATGTTGCTAACGTTACCGATAAGATTATTGTTCTCTGAACGTTTAAAAAACGTTTTTTCTTGGTTGTGTGAATGTTACGGAACATTAAATTCTGCAAACATTATGGGAACGTTACATATGAATGTTCTCTGAACGTCTGAAACAAGTGGTGACGTTTAAAAAGTGTTAGACGGATGTCCAACTGAAACATTTTAGAAAGAAAAACATTGGTTACACTTTATTTTAAGGTGACATAGTTAGTCAAATAAGTACTGAGTAATATTAATTAACTACATACTACTTAAATACTACTATACGGTTAGGTTTAGGGTTAGTTGCTTGTAATTATGCATAATTTACTGTTATTACTATAATTACATGTAGTAGTAACGCTACGTCACCTTAAAATAAAGTGTTACCAAAACATTCCATGAATGACGTATAGATAATGTTTTAGTGCTAACATTTTGAGAACATTATTAAAGACTAGACAGCTCTGAATGAGCGTTGTATTAACGTTACTGGAAGAATCTGTGTGTTCATAACTTTGAGAGAACCTTGGCAGAATGTTAGGGAACATTCCCTGTTCGCTGGTTTATGAGTATAATACCTGTGTTTAAAATATGAAATACTATCTAACGCAAAAAATATTTTCCACATTATATCTGAATTTAAAATGTATTATAGACTATATAGTGCAACAGTAAATGTGAAGCAGAATAAATGGGAGAAGCAACAACAATATCAGAGAAACTGATTAATAAACTTGACATTTCATGTTACAATCTACCTGTAATTTGACTCATGCCTGAATAGTGTGTGTCACCTCTTGCTAAACGACCTAAACTGATATAAGAATGTGGACAATTTCAGTAAGAAATACATTTTTTTTTTGTTTAAATAAAGACACTTTAAAATGAACATACACAGTTTTGACTCAAGTTGCTGAGCTGAGAACCGCGTGACAACTTGCCCCATGTGTAAACACTGGCATTCCCATTCATTGAGTTCATGATCTTAAAATGCATCTGACTAGACCATGCCAGGGTAAAGACAATGAAACACACTGAACATCCAGTGAAAGGGTAACGATCGACAGGCAAACTCACCCGAATCGGACCTGACGAGCAAGATCAGCAGCGAGATGAGCAGCAGCATGCGAAGAGCAAACAGATCACAGTACGGACGCATGCAGGAAGTCATAGCAGCATTGAGTGAGTGAGTGTGTGTGTGTTATGTGTGTGTGACCGACTCGCCAGCGTCTCAAGGTTTGAACCGCGACTGAAAATCCCCTGGGAACACGTCAGACCCTCATCTAAGCGAACAAAGGAGGGCGATTCGCATCACCCGACAACCTCCTAATCCAGAGCCTTTCACATTTCCAGATTCAGATTAAGAACCGCAGAGCGCGCAGGTTGTTGTCATTGTGCGCTTTTACGCATCGGACACGCATCGGACGCCGCGCAGGTGACGCTCGCTCCGCGTCTGGCATCTGCGGAGTCGTCTTGTGTCGACGGGCAAAGGTCATCGTCCGCGCGTCATTCCTTAAAGGTGTTCGGCGACGCAAGAAACTGCATTCATTGTTGTTCATTGCCGTGATCTTGAAAGTGGAGATGAACGCCCACCTCAATGAATCAGGCACAGCGCTGTGGTAACGACACTGATCTGAGATCAGCGTATACTGTACCAGAGGAGGAGCAGGAATTTTAATGTTCCCTCCACTTGGGCTTTTCTTCTGTATACGAATGAGAGGTTGTTGAGAGAACCCTGGCAGGGGCAGTGAAACTGGGGCTTGTATTTCATGTCTTTCCGTCAGTGGGGAATTTAAGCAATGTTGAGTACATGGCACAAAGAAAACCCAGAAATTAACATTCTGTCATTTATTATTCTCCCTCATGCTATTTCAAACCTTTATGACACACGGCTCTTATATAAGTGAATTGCAAATGGAGTTTTCAAGCTTCAATAATGATAAACAGAGACATTAAGTTTGACATCAATGATGGTTGGTCACAAAACACACGTGAACCAATGATGTTTGATGTCAAGTTCGTTTTGATTTGCCATTATTATACCTTTCAAAAGTAAGATTTTCTTAAGTAAGAGTCTCTCCTGCTCACAAAGGCTGCATTTAATTGATCAAAAAAAAAAAAAATCAGTTAAAACAGTAATATTGTGAAATATAATTGTAATTCAAAATAACCGTTTTTTCTTTAGATATATAGTAAAATGTAATTTATTCCTGTGATCAAAGCTGTATTTTCCGCATCATTACTCCAGTCTTCAGAGTCACATGATCCTTCATAAATCACTCTAATATGCTCAATAAATAAACATTTCTGATTATTATCAATGTTGAAAACAGTTGTGCTTTTTTTTTTAGGATTCTTTGATAAATATAAAGTTTAAAAGAACAGCAGTCATTTTAAACAGAAATCTTTTGTATCATTATAAATGTCCAGGTAATGCATCCATTCATTCCAAAAATATGTCTGACTCCAATCTTTTAAACATTAGTGTACTTAAAAACAAATATTTTTTGGAGATTTTCATCAAATTTGGGTCATGCAAAACTATCACATGGTTTTTAAAGGAGTAGTGCACCAACATTTATGGTGCATATTGTCGCTATTTGAGTTTGACATTTTCTTTCCTCATTCAGTTCAGGCATGGAAAAAAGACAAATCATATAGTTTTTGGAATGACATACAGGTAAATGATTGCTGAAATTTTCACGAGTGTACTATTCCTTTAAGAAACGAATACACTTCAAATTAAATGTGTCAGTAAGACTGTGGTTAAAACATATTTGTGAATTCTTTGACAAATGGATCAGACTTCATATTCAGACATTTGTTGAGCACAACAACGACTGTGTAGTTCAGTTATACACAACACACTGTGAAAAATCGGGGCAACAACAGCCCATCTCTCCAGGCCAAAATGAGTGTTTGACCATGGGTGGAGGAGGAGGACAATGGTGTCTCCTATTCTCCAGATAACAGCTCAGTGGAAGCAGATTACGGGACCGGGTCCAACATGTAGGACACGTCCCAGTGGAGGGACAGAGCGACTGTCACATTGAGAAAGCGAAAGGAGTGATCTGACTCCATTGTGATTATCCTGTAATGTAGGTCATGAGACTGATGCTAAGAAAAGAGTTGGAGTTGTTTCTGTGACTTTTACTAGGAAAAGGTGACACTTCATAAACTTTAATTAGGTTTTGTGTTAAACTTTTCCCAAGCACATGGGGAGATATACGGTAACAGTCGTGTTTTTCATAATCCCGTTGCAATATCACCTCAAAAAAAAAAAAAAAAAAAAAAAATCCCACATGTCGCCCACATGTGTTGTGTTGTTCCATGTTGTTAATATGTTGAATACATATAAAAATATATCTAAAAAAATATATACACTGCCGTTCAAACATTTCTAATGTTTTTTGTAAGAAGTCTTTTCTGCATTCATTTAACCAAAAATACAGTAAAAACATTAATAATGTATTACAGTTTAAAATACAAAATTTCTATGTGAATATACAGTAAAGTGTAATTTATTCCTGTGATCAAAGCTGTATTTTCAGCATCATTACTCCAGTCTTCAGTGTCACATGATCCTTCAGAAATCACTCTAATATGATGATTAGATTTTATCAGGATTTTTGATGAATAGAGTTAAAAAGAACAGCATTTATTACATTATGTACTTTTTTTGATCAATTTAATACATCCTTGCTGAATAAGAGTATTAATTAAAAAAAATAACTTTTGAACGGTGTTTATAAACATATATCAAGTCTTTGATGCCATTTACAATCTAAATTTTGTTCAAAAATGGTACATTGTGACATTGGCATCAAATAATCTGCTCTTCCATTTGGGTTTAAAACAACATGCGGGCAAATAAATAATTTTGGGGTGAACGATTCTTTTAATGACTTCTTTTCGACACTTAAATGCTTGACCGTTAGGTCTGTAATTCCAATACTACTTTCGACGACTTTCATTATTCTGAAATGTGGACAGCGCAACCAATGAAGACCGGCAGGCAGTGCACTGGATGCGATTGTAAGATTTCGGCGTGTTTCTCATCCTCCCCCATGGCATGTTCTTCCCTGGCCTTTGTTTGTCTTGCTGGTCGGTTGGGCTTGAGGCCATGCTGGTCTGGTTTAATCTTCCTGCCACAATATATCACATTCCCCTGCTTTGACCATGGGTCTCTCCGCTCCGGCTGCCCGCTGACCCAACGGGGCTTTTTGTCAAACTCCCAAACAAACGTTCCTCTGGATAGCATCATGGTTATTTTCTCTGCCGTGACATGTTTTGGTTAAAGCCTTAAAAGGCCAGTGACAACTTCAATATTTCACTTGCTTCGCATGCTGTAAAAACGCTCTTTGGCATGATGATCTCAATAAATCAACTTGCACATGTTCTGTTCCAAAACCTAGCGAGCCCCCTACCTAGACAGCACTATAGGCATCATAACAAAGACTTTGATTTGAACAAATTCTAGAATGCTCGAGGTTTTTAGAATGCAAAAGCATTTAGAATTTAAATTCAGAATTCTAAAGCAATGCTAAATTACTGTCAACTACAAATGTACTTCTTCATTTAGTACAGAAACTATCGCTAAATATGGACTATTTTACCCGACTATTTTTGTGCTTATTAGAGCATTACCAACATGCTAAGGTCCAATACTCAGACAGCAACGTGGCTTGCTGAGTTTTGGAACGAAGTAAAAATGTTCAAAGGTCAAAGGTCAGCTGCCATACCTCACATGGCGGACCCATCAGAGGTCACGGCAGCGACGGCTCTAATCCGCGGGTTCCTAACTGGCTCCTGCAGTCATCAATCAGGGTCCGTTCTGCACAGAGCAGGTCAAGAGGAAACCGCTGCAGGTTAACGCATAAACACTTGCTTAAAAAGAGCCAGCAGATGACACAGGCTTCTCGTCATTTTGCACAGTTTGAGAGTTTTAAGCAAAAAGTGCAAAAGCCACAATGTTCTGGAGTTTTTAAGCTGCGTCCCAATTCATTTGCTCGTTCGAAGGCCGAATGGGTCAAAGCTGTCCCAATTCAGAGGCTCCTTCAAATGTGTCCTTTCTTTCACGCGCCACAAAGAATAGAACGAGTGGATCCTTTGCACGCCAATGACTGGATTTTCTTTTTTAGAGAAAATGCAGGATTACACTTTTAATGTAAGTATTGGGTTTCAACTAGCTCGAATATCTAATGATACAGACGTAAAGATTAAAAAAAACTTTAAAGCAACACCAAGGAACTTTTCCTCAGTGGTCGCCCTACAGGTTGGAAGCGGAATTGTCCATTACCGCTGTCGTAAATAATTTAGCCTACTGTCGCACGCGCACGCTCGCTGTTTATCCAGCACCGGCTTCGGAATCAACAATGGCAGACATCCCAACCTGCAAGAAGTCATTTCAGGGAGGTACATCTTGGGGACTGGATTGTTGACGGGGGGGTGGCGGGTTGACTAGCTTTCGTGAGGCACACTCGCAAGGTCTCTCGCTCTCTCTCTCTCTGCCGTGCTCGCGCTATATATGTTATGCGCGCAGTATGTTCTGTCTCGCACTCGCGCTCTAGATTCCGGCAGATTTGAACTAATTTGCGGGCATCAGGGAGACGCTATAGACTTGGGATGTCTGCAATGGGCATAGACAATTTGAGGAAGTGGTAGGGGAAGTGATGTATGCCGTAAAGCAGTCGAGTTTTGTGGTTCTTTTTGTGCTCGGGTTACTACCCGAAACCCGAAGTTACATAGTGCGAGTAAAAGCGATACAGACCACGTCAGGCAATGGCAGACGTGTCATTTAACCTATTGGAAGTCGATGTACCATCACAAGGGTCTTGGAAATATATTATGAAGGTTGAAAAGTTCCATAGTGTTGCTTTAAAGTGGTTCAATGTTGACTTATCTTACTAAGATTGGGGAAAACAGAAGGGCTGTTTTCAGACAGTTGAATATAACTTACAAACAGCTCCACTTGCTACTGCCAATACACACATGACACGCAAGTAAGACAAGCTGCTGCTGTTAAGCGTACATGAGTTACCCGTAGCAGATCTACACAGGTGGAGCTGGGGAAGGCGGAGGGTTTCTGAACCAAGGCAAATGCTGACCAAGTACTTGAAGGTTGAGCAGCGAGCTCATTGGCTACTGATACAGCAGCAACCAATCAGCTGTGCCCTATAGAGAATGATGTGATTGCAAGCAGATTGAGTTACAGTAAGGGCCAATGAGCCAGCGCCATCTAGAGTTACATGGCAGAACTATGTATTCATATAAATATTAAGTTATTATTCATTTAGTTCATATTAATTGTCATATTTAAAATGGCTAAACTGAGCGATAAATGTAGGTTGCGATGTTTAATATGAAAATAAACATAATTTGGATGGGCATTTTATATGATAAAAAAATCTGATTTAAACAAAATTACATACATTTTCATAAACTGAGTGATAAGTGTGATAAATGTCTGTTGCGATGTTAAATATGAAAATAAATGTAATTTGTTTATATCAGATGTGTATTTGATCAATATAACCAAATTACTTTTATTTGCATTATTAAACATAGCAACATACATTTATTACTCAA